AAAAGATGGAACTGTTTTCATGAATTTGAAATGTTGCACTATTTGAAGTGTAATCCACTGTCTCTGCGAAAATATAGTTTTCTCTGTAGTATTGGTTTGTGAAATGTCTCTGCTCGTAGATGGCTTCACAGGTACTTAGCCACGAAGGATATAGACATAATTATTATCGACAATATGATTATTATAGAGTTATTGACATTACCAACAGCAATATCAGATACCGGAAAATATTTCTGAAAATCAAGTCATTGGTGACAGTACTAGTGGAGGCATGTATGTGTAAAGACAGTTGATAAACAATATTCACAGTGGGCATGAAATGTAAGTACAGGCTATCCACAACAGCATGGGTTAATATACCTGCATGGTATGATTTTTCCTGACACATAGTACCTGCCAGGGCTGTGGTCTTATGGCCAAGTGGTCAGTTTAACATTTCTCTGAAAACACAATGACAAAAGATCTTACACTTTGTAAGGAAAAATTGTGTATAGATTGTGATACTGGTGTCATTTACAACTAGTTTCTAAGAGCATCCAGATTTTTGTTTATTTTGTGCATCATGATGGACCACTGAGTGAATCTCCTGGTGAGAGTCATACATTAGCTGCTGCTGCTCTCTCTGGAATTTTGTATAAAATAAAAAAATGGATCAGATTTTGTTACTCAACCACTACATTATTATTCTCCTTCCACCCAGAGGTCCAGCTGCTACTGTGGGAAGTGGGAGCTGTGGGACACACCCAGCATTCAGGTGGGCCTCATCTTGGGTTGGAAGGAAGGCATGTCATCCTGCAGGTTGGGAACAAGATAGGGTTTTCTACGAGACCATGGCCAATGGCAGTGTCTACTTCCGTTTCTACAAGGTCCACACCTTCCAGACCTTCTCCAGACATGTAAGGCTTTGTTAATTGATGGTTAGTAAGACATTTAACAGTTGATAAATTTTGTTGGAGCTGGTTGCTTAGGCTTATCAGACATCATGGAATGAGAATTGTGTTTGAAAGTGAATTACATTTTTGGTTTATTTAGACATTATGATTTACAATTGATTATGAAAATAGATATATTTTTTTCTATTTAAAAAAAAATATTTTCTTTGTTGAGGACATTTCTAAATGTTTTTCCTTGATAGAGCTTAGGATTGTGATCAATTATTCTTTTGCAGGTGACAAAAAGAGACTACCTAAGCTGGTGCAGATACAGGTATGACTGCATTTTTTTCTTTTGTCTATTTGATTGCTATTTTTTTTCTTGAATCACTGCTCTCCTATATCTACATACAGTTAATAAAAGTAAGAATATGGATCAGTTGTTCAATGTAGTAAGGTCCTGATTAAGGCATAGGACTTAGATAGTGATGTTAGTAGTAATGATTCAAATGTTACTGGATTGGAGTTAAAACTGTCAGTCTTTACGTAATGTGTGCATTCTTATTTTTACAAATTTTGATAACCTCTTGGTGACTTTCTTTCTGCAATTGTATTACAGCTTTATGTTGTATAGTTTCAATATCTTATTGCAGACCCTTGCAAACCAAAGTAGTCATCTCCAAGTGGCCCATAAATATCAGGTGGCTACATCTCAAGCAAGATCATTTCCCATGTTATGATCACTCTGGCTTCAATGATAGTTTTATGGTTTTGAAACCAGATGGTCAGTGTCCTGTAGTGTTTCATGCCATGCAAGACAGAGAGGGGACTCTTGTAGTTTCTGGCAATGCATGTTCACTGCTGTTCTTCTGTGTCCTGATCGTGGTTTTGTTTGCCAGGACCCCCAGTCTCCTGGTAACAGTGTCAATTCTGGATAAGGGTTTTGTTGGATCTTTGCTTTTTGAATGTCTTTTGCCGATAATTTTGGCAAGGTGCCTCTGTTTTGAAGTCTTCCCTTTAAGACTTATAAGGCCAGTCCTAAGATTGTGTTGTTCTCCCACATGCATACTTCTTTTGAGGTATTTCTTCTTTTCATGGATAAGGGGAAGTCATTATTGGAATTGAAATTGTGGCTGCTGCTATCATGGTCTTGATAATTGGCCATATTTTTTTTGCTTGTGGATACTGAAACACCATACTGGAGCACGATATTCTGCCACAGTATAACCTATGGCACAGATTAAAGTGCTTTCAAGTTGCTTTGGTGAATATTCTTATAATGTAGTTTTTTATTTTTGTGCACTATTTTCAATTTATTTTCTATAAGTTAGAGTGGACTCCATTGTCATTCTTATCTTAAAAATAATTGTGGAAGACCTTCTCCAGATCTTAAAAATAATTAGATCTTAAATAATTGTGGAAGACCTTCTCCAGATTGTAAGACTTTGTAAACTTAAAGGTACAATGTACTGAACATTTGATAGCCAACCTTCAGAGTGGTTGTATAAGTAATGTAACTGAAGTAAATACAGAAAGGTGTTAGGGTCAGTACTGATCCTTTGGAAGATACATTTTATGATCTCATTTTGCTGACATCTTCACCCCAAAATAGTTTGAAATATATACTTCCATTGATGGATCATAGCAAATGTAGAATCTTTTTTAGATTAGATTGTTCTGGGGAGGATTAGAATTTTTTTGTCTTAACAGACTGTCGTAGGCTGTTGACAGGTCTGTGAAGATTGCCCCTGATCTCTGCTTTCGTGTGTAGCCTGCTTCTGTGTAGGGTTTTGATACAAGAATTAGTTCTGAGGAATCCCATTTTGGTTTATAGCTGGTATCCTCAGTGGGGATGTGTGGTTTCAGTATGGGTGAGATTTTTATGATCTCCTCCTGCCTGACAAGTACTGTCGGCCCTTGGTATAATTTTGAGTTGTTCAGCTGTTGGTATTCTTGCCATGATGCCCTCTTGAATGGGTGGTTGGCTTGACGCCCTCTTGAATGGGTGGTTGGGTTTGTGTATGATTTTTTGCCCAGTCTGTTTGGTAGTTGTGTATTTTTATCAGTGGATATTGTTTTTTTGTGAATAATTGGGTGCCATGGTCTTTCTAGGAGGATTCAGACTTGTCCGTTATATTTTTCAGAGTCTATGAACTCTCTTGAGATCCAGCTTTTTTGCATCTCAGTATGTATGGATTCCAGGAGCAAAACTTCAATTAGTATATTATGGGTTTTCTCATTGTTCACTCAAAGTTATTCACTGCAAGTTAACCAACAGGGAATGTAAGGAAATCTACATCCACTAGGAATGTGTATTTTTTACATTTTTAGCATGAGGCTGTCACATTTGTTTCCCTTTTTGGGAATTCTACCTTTTTTCTCTCTTTTTTTTCAACAATTTGCCTTTGGAAAGTCGTCATGATTTTAGTTGATGTTATCGTCATCATCATGATGAGTGTCATTGTCATTGTTACCACCATCATCATCATGAGTGTCATTGTCATTGTTACCACCATCGTCATCGTCATCATTGATATCATCCACATCATCACCATCCACATCATCATCATCATCCACATCATTATCAGCAGCAGCAGCAGCAGCAGCAGCAGCAGCAGCAGCAGCAGCAGCAGCAGCAGCAGCAGCAGCAGCAGCAGCAGCAGCAGCAGCAGCAGCAGCAGCAGCAGCAGCAGCAGCAGCAGCAGCAGCAGCAGCAGCAGCAGCAGCAGCAGCAGCAGCAGCAGCAGCAGCAGCAGCAGCAGCAGCAGCAGCAGCAGCAGCAGCAGCAGCAGCAGCAGCAGCAGCAGCAGCAGCAGCAGCAGCAGCAGCAGCAGCAGCAGCAGCAGCAGCAGCAGCAGCAGCAGCAGCAGCAGCAGCAGCAGCAGCAGCAGCAGCAGCAGCAGCAGCAGCAGCAGCAGCAGCAGCAGCAGCAGCAGCAGCATTATAATTATTATTATCATTGACATTAACTATTCCTAAAACTGCTTTTCAGCCTGTGTACCACCCTATGCCTTTAGTGGGAACCAGAAACCACAGCGATTGCTCTCATGTACCTGGCAGGGAAGGTGAGCAAGTTTGATGTCGCAGACTGGGTAGTCCACACCTGTAAACACTAATGCTGGTGCGGCATGCATGGTGGAGGGATCTCCATGGAGCTGCGGGAAGGTACTTACAGGACGAGGGTTCTTTTGTTGTTGTTTTGTTTATTTATATATTTTTATGTTGATATTATTTCTTTTGGAGGGCTTTTTAAAGGGGCTTGATCTTGCCCACATTGTTTTTTGGGTATTGTGCGAAGAGAATTATTGTCTTGTTTTCCTATTTTGCCAAAAAAAGAAAAAGAAAAGTGTTTTAATCAGAAAGAGAAAAAAGAAAGAAAGAAAAAATATATATAGATTTAATTTTCTTCTTACAAAATGTACCCTTCATTTGAAATAGAAGAGAATTGTGTAGTGTTTTAATCAGAAAGGTAGTCCCTTAAGTCCCTAAGTCCCTTAAACCTTTATTATAAAGGTTTATAAAATGATGAGCCACATTCAGACTGATCATTGAAGAGCAGGTGTTATCAATCAACAAAGTTGCTATGATCTCAGAATGTAATATTGTCAATTGTCTAAACTCGTTCTGTAAAGATTTGTTAACTGAAGATTTTCTTTATCAGTACATAATTCTTATCTGTCCTTTCTAATACCTTTTTAAATTATTTGTGTCAGGCTTCATTTTATATATGGCAGAGTAAAGATAAAGGGTGTATGCAGCATTTCTTCATTTTACGTCAGGCACAAGTGGATGACATGGCAATTCTGCTCATAGGTTTATTATTTTCAGATCTATTTCCATTGGTCACTCAATTTTTTAATACACAATTTCAAATAAATGGCTAAAACAAAGTAACTTACTAATAGTAATAATAATAGTCGTAGTAGTAGTAATTGCTGGAGAAATGAAGGTATGACCAATCAAAAGTGTTCTTAAACCTGTTGCCTGTAAATACGTCAATTAAATGTTTTGTTAATTTGAACTCTCATCTATGACATATTCATTTATATGTTTATATTAATGTATGACAGTTATGAGAATGAGTGTATTCATGTGAAAATATTGATACTTAAACCACTGGATCCAGAT